TTTTCTTGGTTTATTCCTTTTTGTTACTTTTCTTTTAATTTTAATAGTTTTTACCATTTCTTTTTCGAATGTTAAAACATTTCGAATATTTTCGACTTTGATTATTTTTTCATCGTTTTCATTAATTGAAATTAATTTAAGATAAATTTCTTCAATCAGGAGATAATTTAAATCATATTGGTTTGCATCCATTTAAAATTGTGTAGAATGAACAACAATTTTCTTAATATCAATGGGCTTTTGAATGAAATAATCCCTTGTTATCATTTTGTTGTTATACATTCTTGTGATGTTTGTAATATTTTTTAAATGTACTTTGGTATTTTTCTTCTGAATTTTCCTTGTAACATTTGTTGAACCATTTTAAAATTTTATTTTCTGGGTCTAGGAAAATCCATTTTTAAAAATTGCCTTTTCAATAATTCGCCTATTTTGACCTTTAATTTTCAACAAAATTTCAATTCATTTGAACTTTTGTTGAATATTTATTTAAAACCCGTTTACAAAAATAAATGAATTTGTATTATTGGATTTATTACAAAAATATATACTGTTTACAGAAGGCTGAAAAATCACTTGACAAAGAAAAAAGGGATGACAAAATTCTATTTTTAATTTTCAGAGTAATTATAATTGGGGTTTGAGAACCATCATTAGGGGATTTTGTTTACATGTCTTATATAAAAAAATACATTATTTTTACCACAAACTTGGTTTTGCTATATGAAGTAATATGTATAATAATTATAACGGTTATGCTTGACCTAAAAAACATGAAAATTACTTGAAAAAATAACATAAAAAGAATTATTATCCGATAAAAACTATTGTTTTCAGCTCTTTTTTTGGTAATCGGCTTCCTTCTTTCCCCACAAATACTAGATTTTAATATTTCCTTAGTAAATGTTTCAATTAAAAAAAACAGCTTTAATGTCAAGCCCTTCGACGCTGCCTTCAAATCCATTGTCAACCATTGGAGTTCATATTGTTGTATCGACAAAGCTTGTCGAATTAGTGTCTCCTCAATTCATAGCCGAACATCCTGAGTTTGAAAATGTGTTCAAAATTCCCAGAAAGAAAGGTGGAGTGAAAGACCATACTGTTATGGAGATAAACATTATGAAAGCCACAAGAGAAATAAAAACCAAAGCAATAAAAAAACACAAAATTCAGAAAAAGATGTTTTGAATGCCAAAAATGTCCTCTTGTGTTTTGCCGACGATCCATTATTCTTCAAATTGGCATCAAGAAGAGAGCAAGTCGGTATGATTGTGTGCACTTTGAGAGGTGATATTTTGACATTACGAGCACTTGCCGTCTTTTCGGAATACACCCCCAGTCTGTGAGTTCGGATCTCAAAGAGCTCAACAAAGACAACAACCACATAAATAGAGAACCAGGAAGACCTTCTTTGTTCGATCAGAAAACAATTACAATTGCATGGATGTTTATTAATTACTGTTCCCAACAAAAGTTGGCTACGACTCTCTCTTCCTTCGACAAATTGGTTCAGAAAATAAACAACCACACATTCAACAAAGAAACTGTAAGAAAGTGGGCGCTCCGAGTTTTCAACTTGAAAACCTTCAAAGGAAAACCAGAGAATTTGGGGAGAATCACAATCAATCCTTGTGATATTGTCAATAACTATCTGAAAATGTCCCAATTCAATGGCACTGACATCCGACTGGTATTTAACGTTGATGAAATTGGTTTCCAGGATTTATGCGATAAAAAGGTGGTCAAGATTCTAGTTCCCGCTGATGTCGACGAGAAAAACATCAAAATAGAAGTTGGAAGATCAGGGAAAAGTTCGACAATAATTTGCATGATATGCTTTGATGGTTCAGTTCTATGCCCTGGGATTGTCGTCGCTAATAAGACTGTTGATACTGAGCTCCTTTCCAAATACACAAACGCTTCATTTTATTCAAGCAGCACCGGCTTCGTCACAAAGGATATTTTTATGGAGTGGATGACCACGACTGTTATTCCTTTTATAGAGTGCAAGAGACTACTGTCAAAGCTTCCCGCAACGGCGCCTTCATTGATAACATTGATGGATTTAGTGGGCACAATTTTGAAGGAGTGAAGAGCTTCTTTTGAATATCACATTCATTTTC